CATTTGAACTGATGCCACTTCTAACCGGAATTTAAAATCGTGTATTTTGCTCCAAAATTATGTCAGTACACCACAGATCAGATCAAGCTTTTTCGCTTTCAAGTATGGACACAACTATTATGAAGCGAGCGTACTTCGATAACAGCGCAAGTCCATTAGCGATGAGCGAACATAGAGCATCCTTGCTTTTTTTTGCACACACTATCATCCTCGAATCCACCACATCGCCGTAAGAAACAATGCATATGGACGTCCTCTGGCATGACGTTGAAATGACGGAAGATGTGTGCTTAGCAGTTTGGAAAGGCACCTTACCTAAATGAACCACCGTGCTGAGTAAAAATACACGATTATAAGTACCTAACATCATCCCTTTTATTCTGTCTAACTTCAATCTACTTACCTTTTCTACTACTTTGAGGAAACTCGGCCACTGCCTGTACCCTACCCGTCTATCAGCTGCCTTTTAAAAACGGCCAAACACCTCTGCAAAGTTTTGTTCTTTTTCGCGTAGGCAGTGCGTGGCAAAATTGTAGAAATAGACCGATAAATTTGACTCCGAAATACTAGAGAACGGCATGCATACCCTACAACCGCAAAATTTGGGAGAAACAAGACCAAGACCGGAAACATTTATCAACCGGTCTCTTATGGGCATCAGCTTGCCTAATTACCCACATCCGGCAGGGCATAAAAGTTTACGTCACAATTCATCCACCCAACATCGTTGTCTATCATAAACATTCGAGCAATGTTTGGGAACTAAACGTAAACCGCTCCGTCTGGGCGTCTGAGACCTAAAAATAGCGAATGAATTTATATGATCTACAACAAAACGGTGAAATATGTGGGCGACGCTTGTAAATCAAACATGTCACCCAGAGGAAGTTGCACCCCACTACAAAGTCTTGCTACGACACAAGTGATGTTGATTAGAAGTACGATTTCAAACTCCTTTCTTAACAGTCAAAATATCGATATGAGATTAAGTAGAAAAAAATTTCGACTGCTGGATGGGTCGCCAATTCAAAAATGGCCCTTCAAAGTGCACTTTTTGGTATCGTCTTGAACCTTCCATTACTCACAGAACGCTGGAGAGTCAAAGGGGACTTCATCACTTTATCATCAACAGTCGCGGACAGAAAATGAAACTCTTATTCCTTTTAAATGAAATTTTCAATTTCAATTTCCATTCACAAAGTACACTCATTTTGATGGGAAAATCAAGTGAATCCCAACGGAGTATCCCATTTTGATGCTCTTCTTTAACTTGGTGCGCTTCACAAAGTCGCCTCATGATTTGCCTGGTGCGATATTAAAGATATCGGTGAATACTTACATGAGAGAAAACAGGGGCGCTGAGAAACCTTCGATAGTCCAAAATCGGATTCGCTTCTCTCGAGACTCACCGTGTAGGCGCTTGGAGATCAAAGTTTAGACCATTGGCAAACCAAACACATTTGCAAATCACTTTGGTGTTACTGGGAACCCAGCTGAATTGCTCGTTTATGACATTCTTCAAATCAATGTGCTACACAAAGTCTACCTCAAATTCGGATGGCGCAATAATAAAGATGTCAAAACCTCATGCGATATTTTGAATATTCCACCAAATGACGCAACAAGCGTTCTTTGCACAGCACGTTCTTTTGAAAAAAATAATAGAGTGGGATTCAACTGTTCGACTCTAGTGTTATGTTGACTTGGCGATTGGGGGTACTTTGCGAACTGCGTCCACTTTGTACCCAAACTGAAAAAAAGATTGGATTGCGCTCATCTGATGAGCCCCAAGAAGGGCAAAACCAGTCGTGTCGAACAGTTTTCAGTAAACTTGTAGAATGTTACGTCAAGGAAATAATAACTTTTATAATATATCGCAGCGCTCGATTTGGCTGGGTCATTTAAACAACTAATCCAGAATGCACACCACACTACATGCGTCAATAACCTCTTTTTGTTCTGCGCCCGGTACCCCAACGTGTAGATCCATCATCATTTGACAAAATCTGGCTAAAATATTTACTTTTTACCATGCTTCCCAACGTGAATCCAGTTAGACAAACGTGGTGTCCGGTTCATTTATATTTACTTTTCGCGTGCGATTAATAATCAACTTTTCAAGAAATTGACAATAATCTGTTTTCTCTGAAGATAGTCTATTGTACCCAGGTGATAGGTTCATCATTTTAGGTAGCACATCATAGAATATGGTATCTGTGAGGGAACATTTATGGCAACCAAATTGTTTCAACACATGCCATGATGTATTTAGACTTTAGAATTTTGATGCTGATTGTCTGCTCTTCTTATTCCAAGAAATATCACATCTTTATGTTTTATTTGCATTCAATCTGCTTTCGAGCATATTCTAGCATCGGAAAATTGAATGTTGCTGTAAATGATGGTGATCACCGAATTTACTGTGTATGAAACGTCTAATTAACTAGCTTACTTTTTTCTTGCTGACGCTTCTCAAGGGCGACGGGTTTAGAGGAAGTTTCATTTCAGAGTGCGGAGCGCCTTTCTGTTTCCACTTTTTTCCGTCACAAATTAGTACTTCTAGGAATCGTGGTCCCAAATGTCCACGTAGCGACGATGTTCGCACTAGGTTGCTGAGAATCACTCACACAAAGGACTACTTCATTTGACACTTCAATAACTCAGGTGTCACAGTTGACCGGCATGCCCCGCGCCAGCGTGCATCATATTATGAGACGCCACCTTCATCTCTACATGCATCGTTTCATTTTACTACAAAACATCACGGAAGAAGACACGTTCGCTAACTGGCTGCTGGACAATGAAGAAATCGTTGCCAACATTTTATGGAGCGACGAAGCAAACTTTTCTGTGGATGGCCTAATCAACAAGCGCAATTGCGGGATATGTTTTCGTGAAGCTCCTCACGAGTACCTCACCCATAATTTCCATTCTCCTCATCTCTGTGTGTGAATGGGATTCTCCTCAAAGTGTCTCCTGCGTCCCTATTTCTTTGATGCTACGGTTTCCGGCGACAGTTACCTCCATATGCTGCAGACGCATGTTATCCCGCAACTCAAGCAGCACAAGAAGTCATCGACCGTCTTTCAACAAGATGGCGCTCCACCCCACTACTCAAACCAA